AAGTGTCATTAGTTTTTTTATTTGTACCAGAACTGATATAACCCGGCCTCTCGCCTGTATTAAGTTATGTTTACATAACGTATGACTTATTTCAAGAAAGCAAAGATGATTGGTAGCACTTTAACAGTACGATTGATTTATTCAAATCAAAGTAAAGATCTAATTACTAGGTGAACTATTGTACATGTCAGCGTAGATTAATTTGTGTTATCGATTTTCCGTTTTACCAATTAGCCCTGTAAACATACTTTGCGTGTACGCGACTAGTTAACCGCTCAGTGCGGTCACACTTTGAATATTTTTTAAAAAATAGCACCTTTTTCAGTTCCATTTTCAAATTGTCAATGTTTATTTAGACTTAAAATGGAAAGAAAGATTTTTTTTTCAAAATTTTAAGGCGATGAAATAAAAATAGTAATAAAATTTTTAAACTAATTATATAATAATTTATTTAAATAAAACACATTTTAAATATACTACAGAATAAATATGACTCAAGATTTTCAAAATCAACCTTTAACATGTTTTTGTGCGGCTAATGAGTTCGACGATATTGTTGTTTGTAAGTTCGTCCGGGCAACGATTTTCGTGATTTCTTACAACTAATTAATTGGCATATTTAAAAAAAAATAGATAATTTTGTTCGCAAATTCGTCTAGATTAAATCGGATGGGGTCGGAACGGACATAATTCGCGTATATCCGTTTTTTCAAGTACTACCCATTATTATATTTTACTGTATTTCTAATTTCCTTTTATTTAGTAAAAAAATTATATTGTAATCTTAGAATAATAACGCATAGAAACCTAGCCCGCACACGTTAAGTGAGGCAAATTGTAGGACGCCCTATGGGTTTACACGAGCGAGCGGGCTGTCAGTGCTCAAGGTCAAGTTGCACCGCGAGCAGCTCAAAAATTTTTGCTAAAAATGACGAAATGTGCGGTAATTGGGTTTAAAAATAGATCAGATAAATATAAAATAGACACTAATATCATATTCCACAAGGAAATAACGCGTTTTAACTTGTATTTTTATATGAATATTCACTAAAACAGAAAATTAATTTCGTTGCAACAAGATACGAAAATGTTGCAAAGTAACGGGTTTTTTCTCCCCATTTTGCTATTCTGTTTCAAAATAATTATATTACGTAATTTTTTGAAAATAGGCAATATCGCGACGGTTGCAAAATTTCTACAAATACACACAGCCGCAACAACATTGTAGGGAACTTACGTTAGCTATTTTTACGAAATATATTTTGTTAGTTTATTTTATTAGTATTTGCCTTCATTAGTTTCATGTGAAAAATCATTATTCTTGTTCATCATACACTCATTTAAAAAAATTGTCTTGCCCAGACTTAAAACTTCTTAACTAAAATTATTTCAGGAAACTAACTCTGACTAAAAAGTCATCGTCAGTTCTCCAAAATCGTGTATAAATAACTTTCAGGTTCAGGTTCTTAATTGTTAACGTGTACTTTTCATGTAAACATACCCACAGATAATATCAGGCTATTTATATATTCAAATTCGATAGTTGCACTTAAACTCGCTTGTAGGTTTTTGTTCATACATATATGAGTTAAATAAGAATTGGGTAGTATTTAATAAGGTGCCTACAGATTTGCTCGACATTGTCGATTGTCGATTGAGAATTATAGACGTTTCCGAGGAGTTTTAGAGTGCTTATTACGAATGTAGTATTAATTTCTAAATCCAAGATGGTTGACAACAAATTTCAAAAATGTTTTTTTGGTAAACCATAAGGAAATGGCATGTATATCTGAATACAAGATGAGGGACAAGACTTCTAATTCTTCTTCTAATTCTTTGCCATCTTGGATTTAGAAATATATGCTATATTCGGAATGAGCAGCCCCTAATACCTTGAAAACGACACCCAACTTGCCATTATTCGAAAAATCGTGCCCGCCATCTTGGATTTAGAAATTAGTGCCATGTTCTTAATGAGCACCCCCAAATACCTCGAAAACGACACCCAACTTGCTATTATTTGAAAAGTCATGTCCGCCAGCTTGGATTTAGATATAAGTGCTATATTCCTAATGAGCACCCCCAAATACCTCGAAAACGATCCCCAACTTGCCATTATATGAAAAATCGTGCCCGCCATCTTGGATTTAGAAATGAGTGCCATATTCGTAATGAGCACCCCCAAATACCTCGAAAATGATACCCATATTGCATTTATTTCAAAAGTCGTGTTCGCCATCTTGGATTTAGAAATAAATGCCATATTCGTGATGAGCACCTCGAATACCTCGAAAACGGTTCCCATATTACATTTACTTGAAAAAACGTGTCCGCCATCTTGGATTTAGAAATGAGAAAAGTCATGTCCGCCTTCGTGTATTCAGATATAAATGCCATTTCGATAAGGATTACCAAAAATAAATTTTTGAAAATTCCTGTCACTTGACGTTGTCGATCAACAGTAACGATCGACAAAATCGAGCATATCTGTAGGCACCTGATCGACAGTAACGATCGACAAAATCGAGCAAATCTGTAGGCACCTCTAACTTAACGATGAGTTAAGCAAGATACAATTTCCCCACTTTTGAGGGAAATGTTATTCCATGGCATCATTATTTGTATATTTGTGTGCGTGCCGACGAGCGTAAATACAAGTTGCTTACGCCTACATGAATTTGATTTTTGCCTCACTTGTGACAGTTCGTTTTTTATGAAACTATCATTCTATGCGTTATTATTCTAAGTTTGTAATAATGAATGTCGGTAACGATTGAGGCATTGTATTGGGTATCTTCTAATCGATTTACATTTTACAAATATCAACGTAACGCCACTGATACATATCCAACGATGTTTAAAATACAGTCGAATTGAGGACCTCCTCCTTTTTTTGAAGTCAGTTGAAAAGAGAATTACATGAATCAATGCAAACATACAACTAACAAAATCTACAAAATAATATATACCAGTTTATAGTTAATTAAATAATTTTCCAAACGACCGTAATAATATTTGTTAAAAGCTTAACGCGTTTTAAAGTCGTCAACGTATACACTAATCTGGGTTATTCTAAAATTACCAACGGAAACTCAGAATTATGAGTTTTGATGAAAACTTGCACCACGAAACGGAAATATCGTTTTTCTAAACCGGTTGTTGCTGTAAGTGTTAAATTGACATGTTTATTGTAACTTATGTTAGTGTAGAACAAATTTATTAACATTTTATTTACGTTACCAGAGTAATCTGACCCCTGTTTATATTAAACCTGTTAAATTTTAAAGATCATCATCAAACGAGCACGTAAAAAAAGATTATTGATTTTTCGTGTGTAAAAATATCATGTTATCGTTGGTTTAAGTTACATTGATTAGTTAAGTAAATTCATACATTGACACTTTAACTACGAAGATAAAAGTTATGATAATTAATGTTATAAATTGTAATTTTGTAAAATTATATATTAAATTTCAATTTGCATTCGAGATGGGATTTAAATTTGGTGATTTTATGGTCTTTAAAATTATGTTGACTATGATATCTACTTAGTTTAGTTACGGAAATAAGCCCATTCATCATTAAATTAATCTTTCGTATGCACGGATTATTTTCAAGATAAGTATAAGAACTGTAAACTGTAGTTTAGAGGAAGTAGAGCTCCTAGTGAAAGAGCTCGTCCAGGGAAATACTGCCACCTTACCTATTTCTGCAGCCAAGTATTAAAGTGAGCATTACTGCGTTCTGGTTTTGAATGGTAAGGGTGACGGTGAAATGGGACTAAATGGGACTTGTCAACTTATGTCAGGGTGACGAGCGCAGTGGAGTGTGCCTCAGATCTTTGTGATTTAAAGCTGTTATAAGGCTCAACCTACGCTGGCGTAGAGTCGAAGCGTCGCGACGCGTCATGTTTTTCGCCTATAGCATATTCATCTCTATTTTCCCATCATTAAGGTACAAATTTTTGTTATGCAAATATGCACACTAATGCGATTGTAGTCGCGCGTCGCCAGACGTTGTAGTTGAAAAACAGGACGCGACGCGACGCTTCGACTATGCGCCGGTGTGAGTTGACCCTAAAGGTGTGAAACGACAGGCGTGTCGCTTTCCACCAAGCACATGACTTGTTCGTCCCGTCGCCTGTTATCATAAAAAAAGTAATCTAGGCTGCTAGGCTAACTGCTGTTCTTGACAGTCACACACTCAACATACACACTCACCATAGCCCCGCACTAGGGAAACCCTGTGTCGCGGGTAGTCGTCTACACAAGTCTAAATCTCCTTTGAAAATATTCCAAATTTGCCATTTATTAGGTTGAAAGCAAACAAAAAATGAAAAGTAGTAAATTTTATAGTATTTCTGTACTTAGATGACAAATGTATATGGTAGTAGTAGTGTGTAATCGATATGACGTTTTCATGCGTGTGTGTGTATGCGTGTGCATATCATATCCACAAGAATATTTTGATTTAAACCTGATTAATATTACCGTTCGATGATTTCACGTTTTACTAACCGACAACTTGTTCTGTTTCACTATAGTTTAGTCCTAGGAGCCATTTTGTCATGACGTTCTTGTATTAGTATTTATTTAGTTGGTACTAAATACTTCCTAGGATGGTTCCTAGGAAGGTTAAAAAAAACATTGCTTTAGAATGCTAAAAATCAGGCAATGATAAAAGACCTCAAGTCCTATCGTTGTTTGTTTATATATCGTCGTCATGTGTATATGTTCCGCTCAGAATACGCCAGACAAATAAAACTATAAGAGAGAACCTTTGTTTTAAAAATCAAATACACTAAAAATAATATCGACTTTATCTCACCCCTCTGACAAACGTCAAATGAAGTGTCATAGGGATCATCCTAGATTGTTTTTATTTTTATTTGATATTACAATAGATTTTAAATGCCTGTAGTAACTATTTGGCATTTGAAGTTCTTCATCACTCACATACAGATATTTGAATCACGAAACTAACAAAAGTACGTTACTTACATGCCAACTCGACGACCGCGGGCTGACTGTGAATATCCCCTCTGCTACTCCAAGCGTTACATGTACAAGTAAAACCATCTTCCCCAAAATATTCCTCCAACTGATCTCTCGTCACATTGCACTCGGCCTCAACTATTCTCACTCCCGTCTGAGGATCAACAAACTCAAACTGCTTACTCGGAACCGACCGAACATCGTTGCATGTAAAATACACTTGCAACGCGTTGGCCGCTCGACATCTTAGTAAAGCTGGTTTATTTCTCACCACAAATGCATGTTGTGGCTCTAAGAGAAACATAGGTAAATCATCTGTTGAACTTTGCAAGAGATGATCACCAGAAAGTTCGTCGTTGTCATGAGAATGTTCGTGTTCATCATCTTTATGTTCATGGTCGTAGTCTTCCTCCAAATATTCTTTTTGAGGAGGTGGGTGACTCTTTTCGAAGTTGTATGGATCGAGCGCTTCGACGCCTGCTGGATGAGCGTACTCTGGTCGGAGAGGTATGGGTGGTGTAGTTGCCGCTGTTGTGTGATCTGGTTCCGGGCTAGATGTTTCTGGAACAATCAAAAAGGAAGGTGTTAATAAAACTCACTTTTCTTGTTCTACACGATTGTCCTTGGGCAAATTTGGAATAACTAAGAAAATAAGTTTTTTTTTACTAAAGGAAGACAGTAATACCAAAAGACGTAGTGCTGCCGTCTTTTGGATTGATTCTACTATTAAATAGGAGCGGGCCAGACAGTCAACTTGCTGTTACCTTTAAGTATATCCGTCAAATTAAAAAAAATTAAAGTGTCAAAGTCAAAGTCAAGAGTAAGATTATTTATTCCATAGGTAAAATAAATTTACACTTAAAAACGTCACATTTAAGCTACTGCTCATTCACTACGCTGACCTCCCTGAGAAGAACGAGCAAGCAACTCTAGGGATTGCTCTTTTCAAATAAACTTAAATGCTATGGAATACACTTTGAATGAAATTTGTGTGGATTCTGGAGCCATGTCGTCTTTCCATGCATCTTTATCCAGCACGTAGTCTTCAATTTTGTAATATGATTTTTCGATCAAAATATTTTTAATGCAGTTTTTAAACTTAGGAAATTATAAACTTAATATATGCTCTGGAATCTTATTGTAAAAGGGTGAACAGTTCCCCATAAAAGAGTTGTTTACCTTGGTTAAACGAAAACGTGGTACCATGAGTTTGGATTTAGCTCTAAGGTTAATATTATGGATGTCTTCTTTCTTATTGAAATTATGTACATTTTTACGGGCATATAAAATATTTGAGTAAATGTACTGTGATGCCACAGTTATGATATCAGTCTCCTTATGCTTTTCCCTGAGAGAAACCCGAGAGCCTAGACGGTACACAGAACGAATCGCTCGTTTTTGCAATACAAATATGGTTCGAATATCTGCCGCTTTACCCCACATGAGAATCCCGTAGGACATTATACTATGGAAGTAACTAAAGTATACAGATGTATAAATGTATAAAGTGTAAAGATGTTTCGACATCTGAACATCGTATACATTTCTAGTTAATGATGTAACTACTTTTACTTCGTAGGAACTTCCGTTAGTTCGTTATGCATTACACAAACATGAGTGTTTGTTGTAGAAATTCTAGAAGTTGAAAATTAAAAGTATTTTCACCGACCAGTCCCGCAACTGTCGTAATATAAAAGCCGTTACTTTGAAACAAGAAAATTAGAGATTTTGTGTGTTTTAAGTAATGCTTGCACATTACTTTGTGTTTTAGCAGTACGGCTTCAGATTTTGCTATTCCCTTTTTAAAGTAATCTACAAAAATTGAGACGTTATTTTGGTAAAATTGGATGTCCCTGTAGGTGCTTTTTATGTATCAATTTCAGTGTTACTGAATCGTTTTATAAAAATTCTTCAATGCTTACAAACATACACTTAACTTCATATAAAAAAGCTTTATCAAGAAATTTTGCACAACGTCAACTGCTAGCTAAAATCCAATATTAAAAATGTTCAGAAGAAACGTAATTTTCTTTCACTTGCATGTGTTCTTTGTTCGTGACATGTGATTTACTCGGTAACTTATCCAATTTAGTCAGTAACAAGTTCAAAAGTCTTATTTTCATATAAAAGCCTTACTTGAGTAAACGTGAAATGTTAGCTTTGTTTCATAGAAATGATTGTTAAATATTCAACGTACTTCCTTATAGTAATTCATAGTGTTTGCTTAACCTTCCAGTGGTCGCACCCTTGCGCTGAACCAAGACCGCAGCTTTACGCGTTTAGTTTGGGAAGACAAAGGAATATTTTCATGACGTGGTATAATAGCACGCGATAAAAAAAAGTATTTTATGAATATAAATGAAAATAAAAACATTATTTACTTTTTTAAATTTGCACTTGTTACTTGAACAGTCTATAAAAATTAAAAATTGTAGTCCTATGACACCAAACAAAACAAGAATCGTTAATTTTATATATATAATTATATAATATAGGCACGCATTTGACCTCCATCACACCTGACGGAAAGTGACGATGAGGTCGACGATGGAGCATGCACACCTAAATAATGCCTATTCACTCTCGCCTTGAAAAGGTCCAACTTATAACATTCAGGGAACTGGTCTGCAGGCAGGGAATTCCACTCCATAGCCGTTCGCCATATAAATGTGGAATCTTTGGAATGTGCACAACATAGGGGTGGAACCCAAGCCCACACCTAGTCCCCCGATGATGGAAAGGGGAAGGCGGAATTAAATCGTGTAATTCCATCGCACACTCTCCGTGATATATCCTGTAAAATACTGATAAGCAGGCAACTTTACGGCGGTGTTCAGGGCTCTGTAGCTTCGCCTCCACTAATTCCGAGTCACCTATAAGCCTCTTGGCACGGTTGTCAATTGAATCCAAAGTGACCAGTTGGTATGTAGCAGAGCCATCCCAGAGGTGGTAGCAGTACTCCATGCACGATCGGACTTGTGCTTGGTACAGCTGAAGCAGCTGTCCCGGTGTAAAGTAACGCCTCACCCTGGAAAAGATCCCAAGCTTCCTTGCTGCATTTTTGGCCATGGATTCAATGTATCTGCCGAAGTTCAAATTGGACAACAGGTCCATTCCAAGTAGCTGGAGACAATCGGCTATCGGTATGGATATATCACAAAAAGTCGGAGTCAGCTCAAAGGGACTCCGTTTTGTGGAGAATAGACACGCCCGCGTTTTGGTAGCGTTAAATTTGACAAGATTGGCATTGCCCCAATCGGAGACTGCTTGTGGTGTCAAATTTAAACAGATTAAGTTAATAGGCACTCACAAAATGATTATCAAGATCAATCAAAATTATTAAGTAATCATAAAATTTTTCTGGAACACGACCAGTCGCATGCGGAATTAGACACCGCAAACACAATTAATGACTCATGTGCGCTTGCGACGAATGTCACAGGGCTACTAAGGTGAAGTACCTCATCCACTCGAGGATATCACGGTCGCGCAACAGTCTATTGTTTGTAGTTTTCGTTAAATGACTGAAATAAGGCTGCAAGGTTAGGGCGCTTTCAAATTACACGCTTGTAAAGGCTCTAGTGGTGCGACTGTGATGCGGCAGCTGCGCCTCTGTACCGCTTCAGTAATTTTCACAGTTCACTAATTGTGACTGCAAAAGTGACGCGCGTATCACGACAGTGGCACTGCAACTGCGCTTTTCTAAATATTGTATGAAAATTTGTAACGACGCGGCTGCAGTGCCAGCATATAAGCGTCTAAAGGTGCCCTAAAAATTAAATGTTTTTAAACGTTTTTATTTATTAGTTGTTAATAATAACTACTACATACCGCACATGACAACTAACATAGTATTATCATAATGACGTTTAGTTATAATAATATTACCTATTTAGTTCCAAAGCGACGGTGTTGTCCTGTCACTTTGAAATTAAATTGTATATGAATGATACATCAATATAATAAAATTTTGGAGATAAATTATTAATATTTTTGAGATAATACTGTGTTAGTTGTCAAGTGCGATATATGTGTGTAACGTATACTTCACTGCTCTTTTCCTATCGGGGTAGGCAGAGGGAACAGCTTTTCATTTGCTACGATTCCGATACACACCTTTCACATCATAAGTTATTAAGGGCGCTCTTGTCTTTCTTTAAGAAGTCCTCAATTTGGTCATTGTAAGTTCATCGCCTTTGTCGACCCTTACCTACTTACCTTAAGTATTATTATTACGTAACTATTAATTAAATTTCAACAAAAATAATTGACTACTGTGGTTGTACAACATCGTGATATTTAAAAAACTTAATATTATAATAATTAAAGCGACAACTCTAGTCAGCCGTTGGTAGCTGTACAGATACCTAGCTGAGTGAAGAAAAACTTGTATGGATTCAAAAGTCGAAAAGTCGTTAAAACCAAAAACAAATATCTGCAACAAGCACATACAGAAATTCATAAGGTCGGCTGGTTCGTTCTGTAGCGCTTACAAGTATCACTGTGTAGTCAGTCAGTAGCGTAAGCATCAGATAAGAGAGCGTCAGTTGGATCGATGGAATTATTTTATTTATGTTCGATTTTTGTATTATTAATTATAAATATTTTGGAATTACTTAAAATTAACCTATTCAAGGCCATAACGTAATAAATACGGAATAAAGATACAAGGTTGTTCCAAAATTACCAAATTTCTGATGAAGATTAATTACTCAATTTTATCAATGTTTTAACGTTCAAGATCCCATTTAATTCATTAAACAAAATTGTAAATTATTTTATAACACGTTATAGTAGAAATAATGTAACTACAAATTAATACGCTTAAATGACCAATGAATCTCTGTCCTAATGAACAAGGTTAAAATATACATACGTCAGTTAGTATAAATTGCAAACGTCAAAATAACACTTTAAATACATCTGACTCGTAAAGGCAAAAGCAATATACATTTTGCAAGAAACATTGAACTGATTACGTCCCGCCATCTGCATACGGTTTGTATAAAAAATACGAGACTCGAGGAATCGTGAGCTTCCCTCTTCTGTAGAATAATAATTTGCACCTGGCGTTCAATATTGACATGCGAAATTTAAACGTCGATTTTCCCACAATCTAAGTTGGTAATTCGGTCGCGTTGAACGAACTATGAATTTGTAGGAATTATCACATCACAGCATGACATATGTTAGTCTGAAACAGACTATCTAGTCGTAAACGAGGACGGCTTAACAAAGGTCGTGAAGAGGAAGACGAAGCCCACCAGACGTAACCTGTGTGGCACAGCGCACGGCACAGACAGGATCGAAGTTTCTGCTGCGTCCGGTCATACCGACGACGCTGCTGTACCTGTCGCGACTACATTACTCCACGAAGTCTGAGGAGATATTGGAGTACGTCAGCCAGCGGCAGTTGAAGCTCCGCCACAACGTGAATTTTAATTCCTTTGAGGTAAGAGTACCGACCGAACATCTGCCGACTTTTATGAAGGAGGAGTTTCGGCCGAAGGGTGTTACATATCAGGAAAATTTGATTTCAAGCTGCGGTAGTTTCGAGTCTT